GCACTCTACCCAGGGGGATAGCTTGAGGCTCTGTCCAAAAAAAAAGGAAGTTACAAGAAATAGGAAATGTTTTCCTTGGTGCTCTTCAGGATTTGTTCTAGAACAGTGGTTCTCAACCTGTGGGTCGCAACTCACAGGAACTGTATTAAAGGGCTGTGGCATTAGGAAGATTGAGAACCACTGTTCTAGAATGACTTCCCTAGATTTTTTATACTTTTACTAAATCAATAGTTGGTACCCCTCACCCCCAGCATTTTGCTACCAAAAAGTAAGTCAAGGGTATAGACAAGGTTACGGACAGGAGATAACCATAATAGGTAGTAAGCACAGAAGACTTGAAGAAAGAACCAGCTACTGCTCTTTCCTGTCTCTGGGGCAGACAGTGAAAAAAACACCCACTATTACAGCAACAATCATGGGTTATTACTAGACTCTTTTTCTGGTTTGTATTTGGTTTATACATACTTATTCTCTTGTCTATAAGACCATGGAACATGCTAATCTCTGACATTACCAATGTTAAATGATAGAAATTTCCTACTGTCTACCACAATGAATAACAATCTAGCCCAAAATTTTAGCACTTCCCCTTCTTTACAACCCCCTTTTGTAATTGGGAGCTGTCAGTCTCTGATGTGTATTAAATGCATTCAGATAGGAGTTAGGGAATTTTCTTTGTCCCCAGCCCCACTACTTCTATGATAAGATTCAATATATGCTATTGAATCCGGGAAAAGAATCACTTTACTGCTGGTCTCTTTCCAATTCCCATAAATATTGTAGAGAAACACCTAGAGTTAATAACATTGGCAGAGTAGGAAGAGGAAGAAGTTCCTTGGGTTTAAGGTAAAACATCAAGATGTTGGAGGCTATTGGCCTTCGGCCACTGGAAAGAGTTACCATCACATCCAGTGGATCTAATACATTGGCCAACTGGAAAAGAACCTATGAACTGCTGGTAGCATAGAATGGGATATTATGTTATGGGCCAATGAGAAGTAAGTCTGTCTCATGGACCAGTGGGCAGAACGTTTCCTAAAAGAAGACAGGAAGGGTAGGAAATCAATGGGGTATTGGGGACACTAACTTCTTGGCTCAAAACATCTACTTTCTAGGGTACCTTGCCCCTCAGCCCTCCCACCCCATAAAGTCTTTGGTGGTCAAGGAGAGTAAGCTAAAACCCTCTCAGATATAGGACTCCCTGAAGGAAGATTGGGACCAGGGATGGTACCAAGGGGGCCTGAAGGACCCGCCCTCCTCCCCAACCCCCGCCGAACCTGCAATTCCCCTCCCAACCACAGGGGGCACTGCAGGCCCCGGGGAGGTTGGGGCGGAGCGCTGCGAGGGGCCCGGAGCTGCCGCCCCGCTCCGGAGCGCGGGGGGCGCTGTGCGGGGCCCGGGCTGCTGCTCCGCTCCCGGCCACGGGGGGCGCTGCACGGCGCCGGTGGTTGGTGGTGGCTGTTGGGGGGGGTGGGGGGGAACGGCGGCCGCGGGGGGGGGGGGGGGAGGCCTTGCGGGCGGATCGGGAGCTTGGCGGTGGAGGGAGACTGCGGGCGAGAGAGTGGGTCAGGCCGGCCCTGGCGATGGCGGACGCGGCGGCCTCCCCGGTGGGCAAGCGGCTGCTGCTCCTGTTCGCGGACACTGCGGCCTCAGCCTCGGCTTCGGCCCCCGCGGCGGCGGCGGCGAGCGGAGATCCGGGGCCTTCGCTGCGCACTCGAGCCTGGCGGGCCGGCACGGTGCGGGCCATGAGCGGGGCGGTGCCCCAGGACCTAGCGGTGAGTGGCGGTCGAGGCGGGCACTCGAGGCCGGGGCTGCGGGGCCTGCGGGCGGCCTCCCCGGGGGCCTTTGTGAGGGGGCGGTGGGGCGGGGGTGACCCAGTTCCGCACCCCCAGATCTCCTTAGCGCCCCCCGCAGGCACCTCGGCACCCCGAGCTCTGGCCGGCATGGCTTCCGCGTCGGGGTGTGCGCCCCGGTGTACCCCGAGGGGCAGCCAGGGCGCTGGGAGCTGCTGCTTCCAGCCAGCAGGCCCCGCCTCCTGAGCGACCCTTTTCTCGGCGTCCCCCTCCAAGCACGCCTTCTGAGCAGGCTCTCGAACCCTGGGCTCCTGGGCGCCTCAGAGTTCGGCCGTTGCAGCTGCTGCCCCTTCGAAGATGGGGACCTGTGGTCCCCAGCCTCTCCCGGGAGAACTGCGCCCTGTTTCCTTTTTCCCACAGCCCCGAGTGGGGCGGGAATGTGGGCAGTTGTGGGAGGCAGGGAGGCTGCATTTGTAGCTGCTTGGGGCTTTTTTATCTAGCAGTTACTTCCTCCTCGTCTGAGCGGAGCTCGGCCTGGCGGTCTCCAAAAAGGCCAGTTCTAGGGACTGCCACGGGCTCCCCTCTCATTGCGCTTCTGGGTGACAGAAGCTGCAGTTGGGGCTGTATTTGATAAGTTTGAGATCTGTCTTAGTAGACTAAGGAAGCTGCTGGCTGGTGCATTTTTTGCTCCCAGTTTGGCTAATCCCCCAACCTTGGGGAGAGGTTTTGTTTTGAAACTTTGTGATGGGGCTTGGCCGGTTTTGAATGCTTGCCTTGGTGTGTTTTTTGATTAAAGTTGTTCAGTAATAGAACTTAACTAGTATTCAGGATCATGGTGTGTTGTTTTTGTTAATGTGGGCAAGATACTATCTTTTGAGTTTTGGCAAGCCACTTTAGTTCCTCATTCTGATAGCTTCTCTGGTGAGATAGACTATAAAAAACGAGGGGAGGGGGATGTAATTCTTTTGGAATGTAAGAGATTAGTAGGCGGAGGTAAATTTTCTTGATGAACTTCTGCAGATATTCACTGTAAATGGGAACACATTTTCTGAGGCTTTGAAGGAAGATGATTTTTTGATGTTCTACCTATTGATCAACAGGGGTAGGATGCCTTTTTTTTTTTTTCTCCACCTGATATGCAAGCTTTATGGGTGATTGACTTGGGACTGGCTCAGGCTTTGCTTCTGATACTTGAGTTCCCTTGCTTTGATGTCATTCTCCATGCTCTGTAAGAAAGGCTACTAAGACATTAATGAGGTTTCAGTGGGGTGAATTTGTAAAAGGATACCAGGAATATAAAGGAATGGGGATGATGATTAAGACAGCGATTTAGATCCACATTCCTCTCCGTTTCCTTAGAAGATGGCTGGTATGGGGGAAGAGGTGTTCCTCTCCCAACTAGAAATTCACTGTACCCCTTGGAGGCAAAATGTACTTAAGAGCAACTATCGTATGAGTACTTTGACCTGAGATCTAGTCTGCTTTGACTATTCTGTTGGGGTTTTATTTTCTGATTCTTCCAATGCTTGTTTCCTCCCTCCAATGAATTGCTAATGAGCTCTGAAGATAAAATGCCTACCTATTCATTTTGTTGTTTGCGGGATTCCCTAAGGGCAGAAGTTTAGCTCTCTGCTGTGCAGGACACCTAACTGAGCTAAATACTGAATAATTTTACTACTGGGCATTTGGAACTGGATTCTCAAGCCAAGTAAAAAGTTGCAGTGATTCTTGAAAATTAAAGCAAAGTATACATTATAGCTGTGTTGGGGAGTTGCGTGGGTTCTTCTGAACATAGAAGCAAAGGCAGGTTTGGGTTTTAAGCATGCATTTATGCTTATCTTGTGTGTACATCCAGGGACATAGATGAGAAAACAGCCACAACAAAATTCAGAGTCTTTAGCTTTTTCATCAGCTTGCAAAATTGCTCAAGAACTGCTGTTAGGTTGAGGTTCTGCTAATGAGAGTGACTAGTGTAGGATCAGAACTGGCCGTTTCGCTTTCCTTGCTTTCCTTTTTCATTAAAGAGATTTCCTTTGGACACTTGGCATGTGGACCTTTCCAATTTGCCCCATACACCGTAGTAAACACAACTATCTTCCAATCAGAAGTGTTCTTTCTGTACTCAAGGGTGGAGTTTGTAAGCAGCTGGCCTGTGATTGGGCAGATTTTCAATCAGTTATGTTTAAGATGTTTTCAGGCATGCTTGGTTTTGAGTAATGCATTGCAGGGCGCCCCCTGTTAAGGATGAGTAATTGAGGGTTGGATGAATGAGTTTCTGAACTGATTGAAAACACAATTCTCAACTTTAGAATCCATTAATATCCTCTTACTAAATACTTTTTGATCCAGAAATCCTTCCAAATACAGTGCTGATCCATTTAATAAGACCCTTGTTTGGAAAACAATACCAAAGCTATGTGCTACCTTGAGATGTGAAATAAGGAAAGTCAGGATCCTGTTAATTGGGAGTTTGGTTGATTAGGATCTGATAGGTAGACATATTCAGCAGCAAAGCAATGCTGGCAAATAAGTACTGAGATTTTTAGCCAAAGTAGGAAAACAGCTTTCCCTCGCCCTTTCGTGGAATAGGAGCTTTATTTGTTTCATATAGGCCTTTTATGTTTAAAAAAAAAAAAAATCCCATTGCAAGGGAAGTTTAACCAATTTTTATGTATTTATTTCTAGCTCTTTCCTAACCCAACCAAGTGTCCTCTTTGTGTTGATAGATCATTATTGGTTGATGTGAGTTGCAGAGAACTAGGGACTGGCACATATTCAGTATGTAGATAAACTCTTAAACCAAAACAACGTGGATTTTCCTTTTTTTGTTATAAAAGGAAAACCTGTAATTTACAAATTGTCAAACAAAGGTATATACAGGAAAATTGCTCAATCTCCATCCTCCACCAGCTTCCATTTACCAAAGGTGGGTAAGTTATCTTCGCTCATCTTTCTTAGTACTAGTACAAAAAATATGAAAACATTCAATCATATACAAAAGATTGCTTTTTGTTAGTAAATAGCATCATACCGCACAATATCTGCAGACTGCTCTTCTCTTCCTCTTCCACTTCCTCTTCCTCTTCTTTTCTCTAGAGTCAGAGTCTCTCTCTGGGCAGAGTGCCGTGGCGTCATGCTAGCTTACAGCAACCTCCAACTCTTGGGCCTTAAGCAGTCCTCTTGCCTCAGTTTTTCTTTCTTTCTTTCTTTCTTTCTTTTTTTTTTTTTTTTAGCTA